TAGGACTAAGTTGTTCATAACTAGTCCTGTTTATTTCGATATAATGTTAGGTCTTGTTTAGGTTTTATGTCTGTCTTTGAATTTTGACTTTTAAAGTGACTTTATTCATTTTTAGTTTAGTCGAACTGATGATGGAGCTGGACTCCGAAACGTTTTCAATATCGATATGGTGAATCTTCTTGGCCTTTTCTTTGCTTTTAAATTCCTTGTTACGCAGCCATGATGTAGGAAGCCATAATATCGAAGAAATTTCTTGCTTTTTTATTTAATGATATGAATTATTGCTTAGGGAAAATGTTTTCTGATTACAATATTAAATTGCACATAATTTATAGTACATACAATTAAAATGAAACTGTATATAATAGCTTTCGTACAAATTCTGAACGAAAGAACAGTTTCCTGAAGATGGCCTCATCAAGATTCCAATCAAACGGCAAACATTAATTCCAAGAATCAGCATTGGTCTCCTTTGGCATTTTTTTGATTTGAAATTAATTGAAATATTTCATTCAAAGATGAATATAGCCGCTTCTAGTAGAACAGGAATCTTTAAAGCAAAACTTCTCGATAAGAAGTTTCAATAATAGCTAATATTATCAGTATACACCATGCATAGTGCCGAGCACAATGGCATGTAAGTTGCGTGTATATTACGTACATGTATATTACGTACATATATACGCCATGTAATATATAACGCACGTATATATAACGTAGGTATATATAGCACAGTCATATATAATGCCGATATAATCTCTTTATGCGAGGCCAAAACCTGGCAGAGCTCCATCTGCATTTCCAAAGGGAAATCGCGGAATTGTCATAATGTATTCAAAGACTCCTTTTGAAATGCCTCAGCATTCTGTCAAAAGACAAGACATCTCAAGGAGAGCAGCTTCTCGTTGGTGTAATTGTACAGGAATGCAGGAATAACATCTCAAGGAGAGCAGCTTCTCGTTGGTGTAATTGTACAGGAATGCAGGAATAACATCTCAAGGAGAGCAGTTACTGTTGGTTTAATTGTACAGAAACGCAAACTAAGGTCCCAGATCCTAAGTTTCTCGCGTCGGAGCTAAACTATTCTAGAGTTGAGTAGTCGAGTTCTAGAGTTTGCGCGCGTGCATGCGATTTGGACTGACACTTAACTAGATGCAATTGAGTTCAGTAATGGACTTGAGTTTATCCAAAGCATTGTTGAAGCCAGAAACACAATGCAAAGCTTGGAGAAAAAATAACAAAATGATATTTTTGGTGGCTGTACGATTACCACTTCAGGAATTGCCTCATTCATCCTCAGGCCTCGTTAAATTAGGTTCCTTTTGTGATGGTGTACTCGAATGCTCAATAATTCATTGCATTCAATAATTCATTGCATTCAATAATTCATTGCATTCAATAATTCATTGCATTCAATAATTCATGAACTAACGTGGGAGAAACTGTTTTCTTCCAGCCCTTTTTCTTCTTACACTTTGGGGAACTCTAAGTGACATTTACGAGAATTTAGCGTTCCAAACGGTCCTTAACAGGCATTCTAACAACGCAAGGTATTTTGCTGGTGCACTAGTTTTAATTTAAAAATTTAATGTCATAGAGATAAATTTAATGTCGTAAAGATACGATGCAGGTATAGCTACGACACACGTTACCTGCATATAGTTATAGCTACAACACACGTTACCAGTATATAGTTATAGCTACAACACACGTTACCTGCATATAGTTATAGCTACAACACACGTTACCTGCATATAGTTATAGCTACAACACACGTTACCAGTATATAGTTATAGCTACAACACACGTTACCTGCATATAGTTATAGCTACAACACACGTTACCTGCATTTATTATAGGGCCGGAGAATTATTCTAAGTCAATCCAATCTAATGCATGATGGCTGCGTTCATTTGATTTATCTTTAAATGCGAGTTTGATATGAAACTTTTATAATATCTCCTTTTTTTTATTTTTTTTTATTAGGTTAGAATTTGCACGTTTCTTTCAACTTGAAATTTGGATGAAAACTTTTACATAAAATCTTGTAAATTTGCTCATAATTAACATATTATTATTATTAAATAATGTCTATTTGAAAATAATTCCTTTCAGAATCCATTACATATTAGATACTTATTGCAAGATTGTTTACGTCCCGAATATTATGGCAGGTTTTCTCTTAATTTACACATGAGCTAAGATAAGTCAAATCACATGGACAAATTGGTGATTATTATAAAAAAATATAACTCAGTACTCACTGCAGTGAGTGACAGAGAGAGCATTTTCTCGTCGACGAAAACGTGAAGTCACGGACAGACAGACAGACGGACGGACATGGCGAGCAAATTGCGCCTTTTTTCCATAAATGAGAAAATACGCTAAAAATGACTTAATGTGAGATGCGAATCTAATTACTTTTCTTGCACAGCATAAATGCATTTAAATTTTATTAGATATTGTAAATCCTTGCCTTTTTAAATAACTAGACTCCGACCGTCGAAATTCATGATGACGTGCGTTAAATATTTTCTTATTTCCCTTAAATATCGAAGAGAATTATCTCGAAGTTTAGCAGAAAAATTTACATGAGACATAATCTAATGCAAATCCTCCTCGGGCTTCGGGCCTGTGGCCAAGAACTTTCCAGGAAAAACTTTCGACCGCCGAGACTTTAGAATTGAGTAACAAACTTGATGTATGAAGTCTTATACAAAATGTGGTCTTGAGGCCTTCGAGCAAATGCCGGGTTGTTGCCGGTCACGAGTAGAGATTCCCGCTCTCATTTGCCATGTCAAGAAAACATAAGCCAGCATTTAATCCGATCTCACTCATTTTCTCGAGCTTATATTCACCTGAAATTTATTTATTTACTCTGAGATAATTAAAAAGTGATTAACTTCAATAAAATAATCGGTGTCATACAAGTTCTCGAAAGTGCCTCCAACTCGAGTCTGGCCGCCATCTTTGTGGCATTTAATGTGAGGCAACTGTTGATGCGGAACCCAAAAGGTAATGTTGTGCCATCTTTAGGGCGGTCATCAGGTGCTGTTGATGCGGACCCCAGACCGATAATATTGTACCATCTTAAGGGCGGCCATCAGGTACTGTTGATGATGAACCCAGACCGATGATGTTGTGCCATCTTAAGGGCGGTCATCAGATGCTGTTGATGCGGACCCCAGACCGATGATGTTGTACCATCTTAAGGGCGGTCATCAGGAGCTGTTGATGCGGGCTCCAGACCGGTAATGTTGTACCATCTTAAGGGCGGTCATCAGGTGCTGTTGATGCGGACTCCAGACCGGTAATGTTGTGCCATCTTAAGGGCGGTCATCAGATGCTGTTGATGCGGACCCCAGACCGATAATGTTGTGCCATCTTAAGGGCGGTCATCAGGTGCTGTTGATGCGGACTCCAGACCGGTAATGTTGTGCCATCTTAAGGGCGGTCATCAGGTGCTATTGATGCGGACTCCAGACCGGTAATGTTGTGCCATCTTAAGGGCGGTCATCAGATGCTGTTGATGCGGGCTCCAGACCGATAATGTTGTGCCATCTTAAGGGCGGTCATCAGGTACTGTTGATGCGGACCCCAGACCGATGATTCATAGTCCAGGACTGGTCATACGAGGCTCAGCAGACGCAGGCACAGGATTGATTGGCTTTGCCTGCAGTTGCCTCGAAGTGTTCCCTCCAGTGCAGGGGTGCAGGGTTTCTGAAATTCGAAGGCCAAAGTACTTGGCACTGGGATGTCGCGGACCCCAAGCGGAAGTTGGTGTTTGATCTGGTGACGAGGCTTGGTTCTATTCGCGAGGAATAGGTTGAGATGTTGGCTTATCGTTCACCTAGTGGAACTTAATTTTGTGTCCTTATCCAAGAAGAGATTCTTGATTCATGGGCGGGTACTGCTTCATGGTCACCGCCTGGTTTTTCCAGTTGATGTCAGGCAGATTCTGGTTGCCGCCGAGCCAGACATCGCTGTTGTCATCACCTCACTCAGAGGCTGGAGGATGTCTGTCATCTGCGGGTCGCAGTTGTCTGAAGGAGCTCGGTTAAAGAAGAGTCAAATTAACAGCGAATCTTCAATAGTTTCCGAGGAACAATTTTAACGTCAATACAAGCCAATTGATGAGTTATGTAAATTTGTTGATGAATGAAAGCCCTTAATTTTACGTTTCACTGAACTCGTTTTGTTATAACAAATTCACCTCATTTAACAAATTTTTAGGAAACCTAACCTGACCTGCAGCCATGAAGGGTCCACAGGGGCCATACTTTCAAAATTGCTAAGTGAACGTAAGTACTTACGCTCGATTTTCTTGTCCGCGATTGGTGGATTTTGCTTAAGAGGCAGTCAATGATTGGTTCATGAACATGCGAACTCTTAACTTTTTTTGAAAGTATAGACCCAGACCCAGGTTTTCATCTGTCCGAGATAAACTCTTCCTTGTTTG